CCAGCGTCTGTTTGAACGTCAGCTCGGCCAGCTGTGGCAGGATATTCTGCTTCATGTCTCCCACCGCCGCTCGATGGGCTCTCTTCACTTTATCCTTGGCTCTGAGCGTTGTAGTTTCGACCTTCTTGCCGGTTAAGTCGGCGCCTCCATCCAGCACCACGTACGGTGTAACCCCGCAGTCTCTGAGGGCTTTGATGAACTTCTCAATCAGGTCCTCAAACGCAGCGTACTCCCCGCCACGATTCTGGTCCAGACCTGACCAATCAATAAACACAGTGAACACCACATTACTAACTACTTACCTAATGTAACAAGGAATTAAACCCGGAGGAGGGGCGCTGTATGTGGGCAAAGACTGAGACTAATTATATATAATGTATTTGTTAAAAAGCTGCTCGTATTTTGATGCATCATGGGATGTCTAAACCTAATTGTGTAACAGGATTAATTGTGCAGATGTAAGTTTAGTATTGTTTTTGTATCAGTGTCATCTTGGTTAGGTTGGTATCAGGTATTCCAGCTGGCAGGTGGAGGAAGAGAGAGGAGGGAGTGGACACAAACAGGTGTGTATGAGCTGGTTTAAGAGCGTTGTGTTTACAGCACATTCAAGTCACGGGGCAAACCAAGAAGTTGTTTAACTTGTTTGGATGGATTTTTACTTCATACACCCAAGTCGCTTTTAATAACCCAATTTTATATTTATACATAAACCTCTCTGCTGTGTGTATAACATCAACTGGTGTTTTTGCATAGATCAATTGCTGCTTTTACTTAAATAAAGTTATTAATATTTCTTCACCACTGTTCACAGGCTCATAAAAACTTCAAATGGATGTTTATTGCACCGACTTCATCCAGATAAGAGAGTTTGACTAACAGCTATAAAAAGTCTGATAAACAAAAAAATAATATTGAAATGTGTATAAAATCAGTTCTAGCTGTCAGAAAAGAGCCAAGCAGCACTTTGTTCCTACCTGAGTTGAAGTACAGCAGGTAGATCAGGTTGCAGCCGTCGATCACCAGCCGGCTCTTCCTGAACCGGACGTCCCGGTAGATCGTCCGGTGATTCTTGATCAAAGTGGCCAGACCTTGAACTCCCATCCTGAGTCTGATCCTGCTGAGGAGTCAGCAGCTGCTCTTATACTGAGTCTGTTTCTGTTTCCTTAAGTTTCACTTTTCTGACATCACCGTGTTAATAATTTGTATCCTAGCAGGTCATCACTAGACTCTGCAGGATTTCATTCTCCTTAAGAAAATGGAAAATATGACTATAAAGAAATGCAAGCCACCATCAGAGAGGGGTAGAGGACGCAGAGGTAGTAAACAAGCTTTATACGGACACTGTCTGTGATTGTGGTTAAACCATTTTACAATAAAGCACAGTATCAAAAATTAAAAAAAATTCCATAATGCTTTTGAGTTTTAAGTTTGATCTTAAAGGAAATTTATTATAAAACAGAATTTGTCCAGTAAACTGTTCAGTCTCAACAGTAAAAGTACAGAAGTATTTACAGCTTCATGTAATTAAAGTACTTTGTACTACAGGCAGTCCACTCTACATCTGTTTTAATGACCTTTACCATTAATTGACATGTACTTTAACGTGCCACCAGGGGGGCGATCAATATGTTATGGTGTCATCTTTTATACATTGACAGCATCTGTAAGGAAATCCTTTTTTTTATGATTTTATGTAACATTCTTAGCCTAAGTGCTTTTACACAACCGCACCCATATTTTCAAGTAGTTGGTGGAGATGCAATAGAGTTAATATCGGACTTTCATTCATCTGGGGTTCATATAAGTTAGCAAATAGCTAAACACTGTATAAAGAGATGATGTGTCAGATGTTTTTACATCTTGTTTTGCTGCCCCCAAGTGGCCAAAACATAATTAATGCAGGTTTAAAGGTATTAAATCATGTGTCTAATTAAATCATCATATTATTTACATTCTAAAGTCTCTGGAAATGTGGCTTAAAACAGTAAAAATGTATATATGATGGTTGTTATATAGTAGTTGAGTTTGTCATTAGCATTCATAAACATCTGAGTGAAATTAAACATTTAGAACTATTAGAAAGATGTAGGTCTAACTGACTAATTTCACTTTTATTCATATTTCTATCTGTACATATTCACAGGGGAAGTTTGAGTAGCAGAGTTTATTCACATCCTCAATTACAAAAACATGATAATTTAATAATAATAAACTTCAAAACAATCTTACAAAGTTCAGAAAATAGTTTTCTTTATGTTGTGACATTTGTATTTTCCCAGTTAAAACATTCAACTCTCAGTACCGGAGAAGTAAAACAAATTCAATCATCAAGAATTAAAACATTTTACAAAAGACTGAAAAAATCTTAATACACTGAACTCATCAGATCAACAGAGGAAAGATAATGTAAGCACTCTTTAACAAGCAGAGAATAAACATTAAATCAGACATTTTAAAACTATTTTTCACTTATTGAACAATGTTTTTGTGCACAGATAAAGCATGAAAGGTTTTAAATGTGTTGAAGGCAAAAACCCGGATATACGCTGAGTGTTTCTCTGTCCAAATTTAGCAGTGGTGGAAAATATTCAAAATATTCAGATACTTTACTCACATACATAAAAGTAGCAATACAACAAATCAAATCTGTACAGTAAAAACTACTTACAGGAAAAGTTAATCTTAGCTTGAAATAGCCTTCATGCAACCCGGGCACATAGATAACCAGGCAGAGGTTACAAGGCAGAGGTCAGTGCTGTCTATTTGATTTACATAATACTAACAATAATGTTATAATTAATATTGACTTTATTTCACACATTTATTTAAGTCCAATAATTTGACACTAACTGTGATTGTGTTTAAAGCTTGTTTAACTGCCCCCAAATAAATCATTAATGCAGCTTTAAAGGGATAAGTCCATGTATGTGTCTAATGAAATCCTGATTAATTACAAATTATTTTTCAACAGCACCACCAGTTTGCTTCTGATCCAGGACTGAAGTAAATCGGACGCTGAGCTTGTGGGCTGAGATCAGAGGAGGTCCACGCCCCTGCACTCCTCTTTGCGGGCCAGTTCAGGGTTTTTGCTCCGGTTGTTCCTTTCTTTAGCTTTGTATCGAGTTCTCAACAACACCAAATCATCCAGATGTATATCCTCCAGTGCTTTGACTGCACTTCTGACTTCAGTCGCAGCCTCCTCGTCATTGACTCCGTACAGCTGCTGCAGGTTGACGGTCAGGTCGTACAGCGACTGCCGCTGTCGAGCCGTTGACCTCTCCTGGGTCTTTGACGGCGTCGACGCCTCCTGAGCACGAAACTGGTGGATGGCAGCCAGCATGGTTTTGTACTGTTTCATACTTGAGCGATTATATTTCAGTAAGTGCTTTAATTTTCTTGTCCTCATGCGGTGGACCAGATGGTGGACCAACGTCCCCTCATACAACCTGGACAACATCAAGGACGAGATGGAGAAAAGCAGAAAGAGTTAAATAGAAATCCACAGAAATATATATGGATGAAAAGTTCCTTGCTGCTTTAAGTAACATTTTTAATACACAATTTTTACAGTGCGGTATAAATACTTTCACTTCAGATTAATCTGAATAATTCCTCCGTTACTGTGATAGCGTGTTGTTGTGATTTCAGCTAGCTCCAGCAGTCTTTCACTCACCGTGCGATCTGTGGTTCAGGTAACGGGAAGCCCAGCAGCTGGTTCAGGTGGATGCTGTCCTTGAGGCAGGCCTGCCACTGGTTGAAGGAGTGGACCACCCTCACATCCAGCTTCTGTTTACAGTATTCATTCTGAATCTGCAAAGCTGCAACAGATAACACATACAGGGTGAGCGTGTAATCGACTAACTGATCAGTCAATCAGCAGTCAGTTGGAAACCCAGATATTGTAGCCAGTGTTTGTGACTGATACCTGCTCTTTGTCTCAGGGCCTCTCCGTTACTCATTCCCAGCAGCAGCGCCTTCAGCAGACTCTCACCTGGAGGAGGCTGAGCTCTCTGCA